TCACAGAGCCCTGATCTCAACATCATCGAGTCTGTCTGGGATTACATGAAGAGACAGAAGGCTTTGAGGCAGCCTTCTTCCACAGGAGATCTGTGATTAGTTCTCCAAGATGTCTGGAACAACTTACTTGCCGAGTTCCTTCAAATACTCTGTGCAAGTGTACCTAGAAGAACTGATGCTGTTTTGAAGGCAAAGGGTGGTCACACCCAGTATTGATTTAATTCAGATTTCTCTTCTGTTTGCTCACTTTGCATTTTGTAAATTGATAAACATAAACAATGACAATATATATTTTTGAAAGCTTTCTTACTTTACAGCATTTTTTCACACCTGCCTAAAGCCTTTGCAAGGTACTGTATTTAATAAATAAATAGCATACTTCATATTTACAGAATGAACAAGAGCAACCCCATTGTAGCATTTAAATTTAACAGTGGATCAGGGTTTTAAAAAAAATAATTCTGTGAACTTTAATGCCAGAATGATTATACATATTAATAACCCCCATTCTGGAACATCTATTTTAATGCATAGTAAGCTCCAGTTGTTTCACTTCTGCTTCGTTATATGATAAGCAAACATGACATCATAGTTTGAAATTAGGAATTGTGCTTCTTTACGGCTGGCAGTTAGTAGCATATCACTTAGATTAAAGAAGGAAAGATATAGATTTATTTTGATGTAGGCAATCAAGTGATTAAATTACTAAGCACGTTTGTGGAAGTCATCATTAAAGGAATAATAACATATGCAGAAGGAATGTTTTTGTACAATAAACCATTTCTGAAAATATTGCCTAGAAAACTGCACACACTTGTCCATATACTTACCAGGAGTCAGGACTTAGTAACAGATAAAAACAAAAGAAAACAAAAACCAACAAACAAAATTCTAAGGAAAGCCAGCTTGATTTAGTGGTTAAAGCACTGGATTTGAGTGGGGAGACCTGAATTCTAATGCTGCTTTAGGCAAAGAAGCCAGGTGAGAGACTTTGACCTCTCAGCTGTAGGAAGAAAGCACTGGCAAACAATTTCTAAAAACACTGCCTAGAACAGAATAAAGGACAAAGGGATAGAGATTAAAGTTGCGTAGCCAACTCTTGTGTTTCTGGGCGGGCCCCTTGATTATTCAGACAGTAGTCTGGGAATTATAAATATGTATTACAAAATAATATCATTCCTTCACAGAAAATTAGGCTCAATAATTCACTGGAGTGTATAAAGAAATAGCCTCATAGTTATATCTGATTCAAAAACCCAGAGGAAAAAAATACTGAACTGAAGAAAATCTCTTTGGCTGCAATCCAATACATAAAGACTTGGAAGTAAGTAAGTGCTACTGATTGCCATGTATAGGATTGTATAAAACTTGTATATTTCACAACTTTTGAAAGAAACTTTTGTCATCCTGGATACAGTGGTAATATGCACTTTCCACACTCTCCTTTCAATTATACAATGGTAAAATTAGGCCTTACAAGGCAGATGTATTTAGTAGTTTCCTGACATCTGTAACGAAAAACATCTGTTAGGAATGCTGTGCAGAGGAGTTGCTTAAATGTTTCTTCTCTAAAAATTTTCCCAGTCAAAAGCCCTTTTCTCAGTTATTTCCCATTTGGGGTGGAAATTTATGGTTTTGGAATATGATTTTGAGTGGAAAATATCTCTAAGGGAAAGAACTTTCATTTCTCACCAAATTCACAATCCTTTGTAGCTGCTTCAAAAGAAGAGAAAAGAAAAAGAAAATGCTCATTTGTTACTTGCTTCAATAATTGCATCATACAGGGTATATAATATTTCCTATTATGCTTTGGAAAAGATCCTCCAAGCACAGCAAAGGAGAGAAGAGGTTGGACCTATGTTTATCATTTCAACAATAGGTATATCTCAAATAAGGACTTCATATTTACCAAAAGTTATCTGTTAAAACTGTAGTTGGTGGATTATGAGTCCTAGTAATGGAGCTTTAAAAAATATTAATGGTGTATATAAGTTTATATCTATAAAGTATAAAGAAATACAATTAGTTTTTACCTTTGTAAAATGGCCTTCCAGTTAAAATGTCCCCACGGTTGGAGAAGCCTGGCCCTCTGGGGCATAAGTCTTCGTATTCTTTCATGCCTGGCTCGGGGCATTCCTCACAGTCTGAACCCCAAGCAGCACCTATAGCACAACAACATGTGTCCATACGGAATTTTCCAGGTACAGGCTGAACACAGTCATCTTCATCCCATCTCAGGTAGCACTGCTCCATTCGGATATCTACATGGGTCATTAAAAGCAACATCATATACGGAAGTTTATATGCTGTTTGCCACCTATAGTTGCTACAGTGATATGGGCAGCCATACAAATCAAATGAAATCAAATCAATCAATAATAGAAACTCCTAATTCTGAAATGCTCACTAGGATTATCTCAAGAACCTTTAGTATGGGCAAAGACTGTTTAAAAATATTAGGAATGAGTAAAAGAAATCCTTAATATTATTATGCATTATTATTATACATCGCATGCATAAACTATATTCAGATGTGTTGACTAGTTTATTGCCAGTTAAAAGTAACAGAGAATGTTAATCAACATGTGTGTTCACATAATGGGCATAAATGATGCTCATTATGTGAGCACATATGAAAATTAATATGAAAAAGAAATACGAAAGAATCCCATTCGTATGTAAGTCAAATATAATAAATATTAATTAAAATGAATCCAAATTAAATATAAATTCAAAAGAACGCCATTTCTCCCAAAACTGTGCTTGAAAGTCTTCCTTATGAATAAAAAAATAATACATTATAGGAGACTGTTACATACTTCTTAAGGAAAAAAGTCTCTTTTCAGTATCACAAACTTTACTACACAGCAGCATATACACGGGAGGGCAGAATGATGAAAGCAGCATTGCAGGGTTGGCTGTAAGACCTGACTCTTTTGTACATGCACTATAATATTACATGTATGTAGAAAAGGGGCAGTGCTCGCAGTGTAACACTACCATGCTGCTTTCATGTTCCTGACAAAAACAGCAAACTCCTGCAGATGCCTATCTTTTTAGAAGCAACTCTTAGAAGCATTATCTATTCTGAATGCATTTTTATACTGTAAGAGTGAGGAAACTTATACTTGTTATTTTGTTAACTTTGTGGCGAGAGAGGCACAGCCCTGGTTTTAATTTTATTGTCATTTAGTTGTCTTGTAAAATTAATTCAGTATGCTTACAGATGCTTCATAAAATATTGGCATCTAACAAGTACAAATATAATGTGAAATTCTAAGAAGTGGGTGGAAAGTACATCTGCAAATGAACCAGTAAAAACAAGACAAAGGCCACTGCCTTTGTTATATATTTTTCCTGAGCATTTCAGTCTTAGAAATTTATTTGATGGAAGTAATTTCCATTTAGTTAAGGGTGACTTCCTTTCCAATAAATATGATATACAGGCACTAAGCACCAGGTCCACAGAAGCAGGGGTCTTCCACACTAGACAGGACCCAAGGTGCAGAC